AGCGGCGCGCCTGTGTCACCAGACACGTGGCGGTACGCCCTAGGGTTGGGGTCTGCTACCAGACTTCTACCCGGACCGCTGCCGGAAGCGGCAAGGGCATGGTGGTCGACGGGGAAGACAGCGAGGACGGGGTGTCGAGCAGAGTAGCGGACGGCCTTATTATACTAGCGTAGGCGGTGACGTGTACTGTATGTAGACCGATGCTCGAGCGTTGAAGTCAGAGGGGGCGAGGTGGGGTACCCAGGGGGGGCGTTCAGGTGGGGTGGCAAAATAAGGTTTTCAAGACCCCTTGGTCTCGCGTCTTGGGGCGTAGTCCCAAGTCTAAGGCGTCTCGCTTTTGGCGTCACTCGGGTGCGACCGAACGGTCTTTCTCTCCGGATGCACCGTGCGGCGTGGCTTATCAGATGGGGGACAGAGCCATAAAAACCGATCCTACGCCCAGTGGTCCTGCCTCCTGTCATCCCTCAGACGGCTTAGGTGCTTGCTGACACCAGTTGTCTCCGGTCTCATCTTATAATTACTCGTTGCAACAGAAGCGCGATTCGAGATCTTTGGATGCATTAATCGTGAGGTTTGTACTTCTATTGTAGATGACAGGCTGATGCTCTCATGGGTATCGAACACGACGGCCAAGTTACATAACGATGTTTCCATTGCAGTCAGAACCCTCAAATTGGACGGTCGTAAGCCACCCTAAAGTTGTGGCGGATACGAATACTATTATGCTCAGAGTCCGCGCCGTATCCATTGACCTCTCGCCACCCCCGATGCCTCTTTCAACGGCGAATCTCCCAGTTGAACGATGAAACATCCTTCCCTCACTGGTCCACGAATACTCCCGTAAAGTGGTTCCCCCTCTGCTCTATGCTCGTCAAGATAACGTTCTCCATCGCCGTCGGTTCACGGCCGCACTCGCACACTCCAGACTGGTTGGATGGATGCCCTAGTTGCTGGCATACAGTTCGCCTCTGGGCCTATCACTAGGTGAGCAAGCCGACCGGTCCAGAAATATATGATATAGCTTACATCGCTTTCCCTACACCAACGCCCAAAATGTCGAGCAATCATCCGCGCCAAGTCCCGGACTCTGATCGTATCGTTGGTTTCGTTTAGATCGACGCGTATGGCCTGTCCGTGTTGTCGGTACTAAGGATCGGTAAGTAACTATTTCTGCTATCGCGAGAGGACGAGACGTACTTTGAATTCGAGGACACAAGGCTGGTATTCGCCTTCGTATCTTTGCAACATTATGTCGTTTCGACGTCCCCACCCCTCCATGCTGTCTCCATCGAGCACATCGACGGACACGCCTTTAAATACACAGCGCTCTCGAATGGACTTGTCTCTGACACCAATCGAGATGATTCCTTCAATCTTTCGCGGTCGCTTCCGTTGTTTCGGTGTTGGGGCGCGGACCGGCGCAAGCGACTCTGGCCTCTCTGCCGTCGACTGCGGCGGACGATAAAAGCGAAAGATGCACTGTCGGCCACGGGAAGTGGATTTACCCCATGACGATGGTGCAGCAACTGACTGCGGGAGAGCTGAGGTGCTCCCCTGTGGTGCCGTCGCTGGCTGTTCCGAATGTTCGGTGAGTTGATTAATCTGGTTCCCGGGAGCCGTCGATTGACTCATTCCAGGTGTTGATGCCTGGAACTCCGGAAATTGGCTATAGGGTTCATGGGTATCGCCAAAAGACCCTATCCCCTGTGCCGGCCATACTGGGCTTTGATTAGTCACGGCCGCATACTGGCGGGACACGATAGTCAGTACCTCGTGGAAAACGCACGTAAGTCAGCTCGTACCTCCTCCGCCTCGTATAAAGGCTGTTGAAGCGAGGCAGTGGGATGCGCTGGCCACTTTCTGATAGGGATATACGACAAATCCTCCGGGGCTTGTCGTGCCTCCGGTATGTAGATCTAGAAGACCCAGAATGAACATGCAAGGTTAGAAACTTGTGTAGGCGCGCTCGCACCTGATCCTCTCCATTATTCCATGTGCCTCCGAGGCCCGCATCTGTGAACACGACGTGGTCGAAGTTTTCCGTATCCTGCAAATCGATGTTGTATGGGTACGCGACAGCTGTGTCTTCGCTGTGTACGAAGCTTCCCAGGTTCCCGTGGAACTAGGACGACGTGAGGCTCAGATCTGAAGGTAGACTGCGAGTGAGAGCTCGTACCTGATTATCGATTTCCAGGTATGGATAAGCCAGCGCTTCCCCGTTTTGTACCTCTCCCCACCCTTCCATAGGCGTAATCTGTGAAGCAGAGAACATTGGTGATATACTCCCGCCGTCTTCGCCAGTCGTCACCATTGATATTGGAGTATCACATCCCTCAAATAACTCTACTGCGCCGTTGTGGATCCCGTCCCGTGGCTGTCCATATTCCGTAGGTTGGGCTGTAGCTAATAATGGTGACCTAGTCAGGTCGCAGTGGCTAGCGTACGTGGACTCGGGGGTGGCATATGCCTCGATGGCTTCCATTGCCCCACGACGGGTCGATGATATTGGCAGGTTGTACATCGATGTTTGATCTGTCGCTAGACGTCTGGTGATGCTGCGACACGTCGGGGAAGTCGGCAATGTGGCGGTGGTGGATATGGCAGTAGGTAGGTATGGCTCCTCAGATTTCTGGAGCTTTTAGTATGGATCCATTGTACAAGAATAGGTGTACTCATACCTTCGCTTCTTCCCACTCACCAAGCGCACCGGTCAACGTCGAGTAGGGTGCAGCCGTCACACCACTGGAGGCGACAGCGGTAGGCAAGCGCTCAACGTATATGTAGATAGGTTGTTGTTGCTCATCAGTCTGTCCAAGCATTGGGTACACATCCCTTGCCACCAGGTGAGTAAACCCTCGTACCTTCCCCACAACCCGTTCTACTAATGCATCGGCCAACGTAGAGTCCTCAGATATCTTTGCACCCTGAAGTCTAGGCCACTGGTGGTGGCAGGCGAGGGCGTCCCAGTCTCCGCCCTCAAGGTCATGGTTGGATGTGGCACCGGTGGAAGGTCGGGCGAAAGTCGACGTGCCGGATGCCTCGGGGTGCGTATTGTACTGAGATATCGAGTCAGTCGTTTTGCGTAGATACTGGCGCGCAGGGTAGCATGTCTGTAATATATTAATTCGTACCGCGTCCTGATAGGCACTCGAGCCACACGTGCTATCTACGGGCTCATGGTGGTTGCGGGTGGCATGGATATGGGTTTGTAGTGGCTGAGAGATGAAGGAACGTAAGAGGGCAGGATATCAAGAGGATCACGGTCCACTTACAGCTTCCATGGTATGATATCCCATATCCCCAGAGTAAGTCCAAGCACCGTCAACACAGTTGTCCCCGTGTAGCGTGGTAGAGTACGGGAAAGAATCATAATTACATGGTCGGCGTAAAGCCAACATAGTGGTTGCTGGAGAAGTTAACAGGGAAGATTGCAGTGGATGAGGACAAAGGAAGTGATAGTTGAAAGCAAGGAAGATGCCGAGGAGAGGACTTTCGCAGGGTGCCAGGGTCACGACTTTGAAGAAATAATCGAATATCTCGGATCTACGCCAAATCCTAACTGCGTACAATTTGACCTTGTCCTATATCTATGTTTATCAGCAACATAATTACTCAATGATAGTCCCAATGGGAATAAAAACCGATTTGATGCAGCATGCTACGGGATAAGAACCCATTCACCTCAGGGTGAGCGAGTACGGCTGCTTTTCCCTTCTGCTAAATCAATAAATCACTTAGATCTGGAAAATTGGAGGACAAGGGCAATTCCCGCTGAGGGCATTGCAACAAGCCGTCTGCCCTTGGAAAACCAGATCACCACCGGAGGTCATGCTGTGTGGCACCCGAATCCCTGCAACCGTCAGGAATTAGCCCTCGAGTCAGTGCCCTCCACAATGTGCGTACATTGTACTAGTTCTCAGTAACATTCGAGGCAATCCATATGTCGCAATGAAGCTCTACCTGTGCTGTATGGCATGAAACTGACTGACGAGCTTATGTATATTACCGCACATGGCAGGTTGGACCTATATATAAATATACCGAACTCCGTGGCAAACCAAGCATTGGGATGTCTGGGGTCTTTTCTCCAATCTTTCCTTCTCATCCGTCAGACACCATCGACGTTCTTTGTCGCCTGTTATGTCATTCGCAGAGCTTGTCTGATGCAGCAATAGGTGGACTCAATTCTGTTTCTCGCACTTGTTTTTCTCTTGCCAGTGGAATCGCTGCTGCCGCGCCGGCGACACGGAGAAATCCAAGCATAATTGAGACCATTGTTTCTCAAACTGTTTCTCAAATGTTCCTCATCAAGAGCTGTCGATAGTGACAGCAATTCCCGCTAGCCGATTGGCCCATCACTGTTCTCGCGTGTGATTTTACGACTCAGACGAGCAGAAAGACGAGGGAAACACCTCCAGAGGTGTTTCTGGAATTCGCTCTGTTTCTTGCTCTGCACTCAGATCTAAGCCAGATGGCCGTTCGGCAGGGACCCCGAAAGGCCTGGGCGAAGTGAGAAACAGCTCGAGAAAAACAGAATTGAGTCCACCTAATGGATCCCATAAAACTGCTATTACACTCAGCGATCCTATTCATCTCCCTGAACTGCCTGCGTCGAAGAGTTAGGAATGTGTCATTGAACAGTCTTGTCTGATTTCGTTGCGTGAGTCCACGACGAATACCATTGGGATGAATGATTTGTGAGGCTTGTGAGTCCCTGTCTGAATAACGTACTCATGAATGTCTTTCTCTGATGCTGACTCTGAACGTGATGGGCCGAACGTAGAATGCCATGTCCATCATCGAACGACTCAACATTAAACCCTCGTAAGTCGCACTCAAACTGTCGCTGACACTGATGCCATCCTATCCACATTCCTATCCCTGCTTTGTACACCGTACCTATCTCTCTTCTTCACTTCTCCACCACCGATACCTCTTTCGATGGTCTACCCGCCGGTCCTTGGATGTACCCTATCCATTGTGCGGACTTGGCCGGGTCCTCACCCCGACGCGTACAGCTGGTAACACGCGTGAGTCAGTGCCTCGGGAATCACCATACGTAGATCAGCACATACCTCCTGGGCCTCTCGTGAAAGCTGCCCAAGCGACGTAGGGAGATTTCCTCGCCACTTCCGGATGGGTATCACGCACAAGTCCTGAAGGACCTGTGCTTGATTGGCCAACGGCGCCGCCTGCTGTACATAGAGCTAGGACGGCCGATGAATACACAGAGTCGGAAATCATGTATGTGAGTTCGTACTTGATTCTCTCGCTCATCTCCTATCTCGGGCGCCGAACTTGTCAACGCTGTCGCGATGTCGATGTCGTGCCTCTCCTGGCAAGGGACATCATCGGAGGCTTCGACGGGTGCGTCTTCGCTGACTATGTACCTTTCTGGGTCCTTGTAGGCCTAGAAGGAGCTATAGTCAGTCCTGACAGTGGGAAGTCCTGCAGGTGAGAGCTCGTGCCCGATCGCATGCTCCATCTGAGCTCTGTAGATACGAATAAGCGAGTAAATCGGTGCTTCCTTCATTTCCCCACGCTTCCAAAGGTATGTTCCCTGGAGGAGACAACACCAACGGTGTACTCTCATCAGTGTCTCCAGACGTTGCCATCGATGTGGGCATAGCATATGGCTCCAACGTCTCATGTCTCTGTGGCAGCCTGTACGTTGAGAGCGGAGGCGTGGATGACGCTAATGGCGTGTCCCTATTTTGTGTCATTGATGTAGGTGTAGGGTATGACTCGATGGACTCTGATGCGCCCTGACTAGTCGCTACCGGCAGGCCATCGAGGGATATCTGAGGCATAGGCGCAGATGATGTGGGTACCTCGGGATATGCAAGCTAGTGGTCCATGTGGTGGTGTCGCATATGTTGATGGATTTGGATGCCTTCCACGACCTCTGTCCAAAGCATTAGGTAACCATGCATTGCAAAGAGATACTCTACCTCTGCTTCCCACTCTTCACCGAGTACAAAGACAATTTGAGAACCGACGATGTGGGTGCATCAGCGCTGGCAGGGTAAGCCGCCGGCTCCGGTGTGGCATTCAAGAGGACGGATCGGGGTGGACGAACGGCCTGTCCAAGCAGTTGGTGCTGGATCATGCAAATAGGTAAGTGAACCCTCGTACCTGGACTAGCTGCGTCTGGTCCAGCGATCCCTCCAATGTGGAGTACATCAGGAAAACCCTCCCAAGCGAATTAGACATAATTTAGACAAAATTATGTATGATGGCAAAAAGTCCTTCTAAAGCATATAATTGTTGCATAATCTAGAATGACTGACATCTAATCTACGTGACCCATTCAAGAAAACACTATATACATTTATTAGCAACTCCCGTAATAGATGACCTTCATCGATTTGTTCATGCGGATCCATCTGGTGAACTGGTCAAAGCTATGGTGCAAGGATGCAAAGTGGTTCACGGAATAGTTACATACCTTCCATAGCATCTGCCCCGTCGCCGAGTACTGCGCGGGGGATTATTTGGCTGGAGCTAGTGTTGTACACAATGGCAGGCATTCGGGAGCTCGAGTCGGCATTCAAGTTCATCTTGAAAGTGAATGGCAAGGGTTCCCGTAACCCGAGCATGTCATGGGTAAGGGTACCAGCGGGTACAGGTACGGGTCGCGTTTCGCCGCACCTGTGACCGGACTGGTATCGAGAACAGGTCCGAGTCGTTTAACGCGCTCTCAAAACCGAGACCCGCGGGTACCCGCATACCCATACCCGGCCCGTCAACGCGGAGTTGCGTGCGGGTTCGATACGGGTACGCATCGCAGCACCTGCGGATTTCCTCGTGCCATTCACTATCAAGAACGGACTTACTATCATTGAGGGGGTTCTGCAAAAAGTATCGAATTCGGCCTGTAGCATTCCGCACACTTGACGGATTCTTACCGGATCTTCCGCATATTGTGTGTGACTTAGTGATGAACGTCTTCATGATTTTTGTGCATTTTTATGCAGCCTGTGGAACGTAGGAGAGAGATGCCGGTTCATGTAGGGGGTTCTGCAAAAAGGTGTCACATGCGGTCACAGTGGGATCTCGCCGCGAGCCATGTCACGCTTTTGTCACGATATGGGCCCGGGAGATGTGCAAAGTTGCCTCTCTATCTCGACACGCTCGTTATTTACTCTATCGGGCTGGTGTATTGTACTATAGACAGCATATTCATGATACGCCAAGCCATTCCACTGCAGTCCGTTGAGAGCATCACGAGAGATCTAGTGGACACTGTTTCTTTCCCATGGCCTATAGGACCCATTTTCTCTCCCTCTCTTCAACCACAGCAGATATTCCCATTCTGACTTGGCAGAGGTTCTATTCTAGTGTATATATACCTGCCTGAGCTTACCCAACATTTTTTGGTTGAGTGTGGAATGAGATATAAGGGGGTGAGGGGGTTCTGCAAAATTTGCAGAACCCCCTCAATGATAGTAGCGCTTTCTGCTCACCGCCCGGTCATCCGGTTATGAGCAGCCGGTCACATGACATTGTTGATACCGCGTTTTGAACTCCGATTCAATCCGCCGTGTTCAACATTCGCGTCGTCTCTCATTTTCATTCCTCGCTTCACCGTTGTCACCTCGATCTCATGGAATCATTCCCTTGCCTCTCGCCAGGAGCTTTTCAGTTCCATACTCACGCGCCGGCTCGCGTGCGGGCTCGTCTGTACTCCGTGGCTTGACTTATGCAGGGCGTCGCGGGCGACCTCTCTGGGTACGTTCGAGTCACTCCATTCATGGCTGTTCGCCCGTGAAGTCTCATGACGACAGGTTCTTATGACGGCTGCGGCGTGTTCTCCGGATCCTCGTCACTCCATTGACCGGGTTCTGTTCAACACCGCGGATACAACATGTGCTGAATGAAGTGCTGGTCTACCATCAGCTCATGTGTGCACCGAGCTTTGTACGCGTGCTGTGTAAGGTGAATACAATCAGTTTGGACGAATTCTGCATGACATCCATTGATTTATAGGTTGGCCGTGATGTGGGATATAAAACACTACTTCCTGCTTGCATGGGTGTATGCGAAACTCCAGACCTGGTTGGATAGGTATGTACTCAATATTGTGGAGCTATTTCTATTTCTGTTGTCTCTGATGGTGTGCCTTGCCGTTCCCACTGTGAGTCTGCACCTTCACTGTCCCCGGCACTTTTCCCGATGAGTCGTATGCATGCCTGCACCTTGTGCGTGGCCTTGCCCTTGGCCGAATATCTACCCCGTGTCTGCCTGGAGTAAGTTGTCGCTCCTTCCTGGTTATGGTGGTGGCTGATGATGCTGTATAGCAGGCCATATTT